ATGATCTTTTATTAAAGGTTAGGATATCGTATCGGTTCGAAAATAGAAATAGAAAGATAGTTTTTTTTAACATACTTATTAGTAGTTATAAGTTTCTGTGGACATTGCGATATAGCCCAAACGAGTCGGCTATCTAAGGCTAAGCTTATAAGCTGTATAATATATATATATATATATATATATATATATGGTAACTAATATTTAATATATATGTTATTGGGTCAATATATGTATAATTATTGTAATTACAATTTATGTTGTATATATTAATGTAGGTTTTTTTATATTTTTATTTTTATATTACCCACCCTTAATACTTAGTATTATCAGTACATTGATTATCCGATTTACGCACACAATGATAAAAATGTTGACCTGTTTTTCGGGAAGCATTTATATGGAGACAATCTATCTATATAATCTAAGTATTTATGACTCATTTGACAACGACTCCCGTGGCGCTCGTTGCTTTGCGTAAATGAGGTCACGGGTTCGATTTCCGGTCGGGCTAATATAGAAAACGTACTTATCCTCCATTTATTAATTTTGATTTTACCATACTTATTAGGGGTGGGTATTATATAGCAATATGTATATATTTTAGTTCCTATATATATATATATATATATATATATATATATATATAATAATGAGAGGTTGCCGTACTATAAGTACGAGCCACAGCCGGTCCTCGAAAGCGACAGCGTCAGGCTCTACTGGGACCGATCCATCATCACGGACAGGACTGTTCTTGCGAACAAACCTGATATCGAGGTGATGGACCGGGCACTTTCGAGGGTGTTTTTGGTGGATGTCACCATACCGCATGACGAGAACCTCGTGAAAGCCGAAACCGAGAAGAAGAGAAAATATCTCGACCTGGCTCACGAGGTGACCGAAATGTGGGGGGTGACATCTACCGAAATCATCCCAATCGTTATGTCGGTGAACGGTCTTATCCCAACCAGTCTGGAACAACATCTCAGACGGTTGGGATTCCGAGGAGGCTCACTCCCGGGAAAGATGCAGAAAGCGGTGCTCTTAGATTCTGCCCGCATTGTACGCCGGTTTCTCTCCCTGGGGCCCTGAACCCCGGCCGACTGTGCTTCTGCCGGGGGTTAGTTGCCATCTCCTCTCCTTAAGAGGGGAGATGAGAATTTTGGTAAAATTTAAAAATAATAATAATATATTTTATTGACTCCAACTTAAGTAGTTACAGTTATTCTTCTTATAAACTATTACATTTTTGTTAAATACGCATCATACATATGATTTACCAGTAGCATCTATACTAGGCCGAGCCTGTATCATAGATACTACCTTCTTCCAGCGACAAATAGGTAAAAATTAAAATGTTGCAATTGCGTGGGTAGATTTACATTTGAACTTGTACAAAATATAAATGAATTGCATTGTCATCAATCCATTTGCAGCTCGTAAACAGGTTTACAAGTGACCCAGCGCGACCACAATAACCACGAACACAAACAATATAATAACGTTAGTTAACAAACTAAAATAATATAGTTTTTAATTTTATCTTTGTATATTTTGAATGTACGGTTAATCTTAAATTTGTTTATAATAATAGTATATCGTAGATGTATATAAATATATATATTGCTTGTTTAAGGTGTATATTTTTAATGTTACATTTCATACTATTTAATAAAGAGATGTATATAAAATGGTATGTATTGTGTTTATGTGTGTGTGTATGTGTATGGGTGTGTGTGATGTTTGTATATGTGTGCGGTTGTATGTGTATGTACTCATGTCATTTTACTGCTATAAGAAGATTTTCAATATCATTGTAATTTAATGATTTTAGCCATACTGTTAGAATTTCTTTACATTTGAAGTAATTGAGGTGATTTATATCGATAATTTTATTAATTTTATTATAAAGCATAGGACCGAGGTATATTTGAAATTTATTAATAAAATAACTTTTGAAGGGAATACTTTGGCAAACATCTTTTCTACGAAGTTTCATCAAATCCATGCTAAATGGAGTTTTTAGGTGTTGGGACAACACTGTATCTCTTACAAACATTTGTCTAATGGTTAGCACATCAGTATCTGCGTATAATTCTATAGTGGGATATCGAAAAGGTTTGAAGGTCATTACTTTTAGTATTGCTCTCTGTGCTTGCTCTATTTTTAATAAATGGGTTTTTCGTGCTCCACCCCAAGTAGCTATACAGTAACTTAATATTGACTGAACTAATGCAAAATAAACTATTTTAATTAATTTAGAATCTGCTATATGTCGTAATGTTTTAAAAATATAAATAAGTCGTCGTGTTCGTGATGATAGCAGGTCAATATGAGGTTTCCACGTTAGGGTTTCGTCGAGTATAACTCCCAGGTATTTAATGGTGTCTGTTTTACATATGTAAACACAGTCACAGCTGTTGTTATTTGCGGTCGTAATATCATTGAAGCATTTATGTATTTTTATGTGAAAATTTTGTTCTGTGGGAATTAATCTTTTTGTAATGCTAAAAGTAATATATTTTGTTTTAGAGATGTTTAGTGTTAAAAGATTAATCTGTAACCATTGAGCCACTATTTGAAGTCCTTTTTCAGTTAGGATTCTCGTCTCCTCCCATGTCTTCCCATAAAAAATTAAAGCAGTATCATCAGCATAAGTGAAGACTTTACAATTTTGAATTAATAAATTACAGAGATCATTGACATAAAGTAAGAAAAGGGTAGGACCGAGGACACTACCTTGTGGGACTCCATGGGATATATCAGCTTTAGGGCTATAATAATCACCAATTTTAACTATTTGTTTACGGTTTTTGAGATAATCTTTGAACAAATCAAGCACTTTACCACGAATTCCACATATTTCCATTTTCTTTAAAAGAGTGGGGACATAAACAGTATCAAAAGCCCTGGCAAGATCCAGAAACACACCAACACACTTATTTTTTGCATCTAAGTGAGTGGCTATAAATTCAGACATTTCTGAGACAGCGTCTTTAGTAGACTTTCCTGGTCTAAATCCGTATTGATTTGTTGACAATATATTATTATCATTAAGGTAAGACAATAGTCTCCTATTTATAATTTTTTCAAGAATTTTAGACATTGCAGGTAACAATGAAATAGGACGGTAGTTGCTTACATTATCACCATCTCCCCCCTTATATATGGGATGTATTATTGATGTTTTAAATACGTTGGGAAAGGTAGCTGAACTTAGGCTCAGGTTAGAAATATGCGTAAGCAAAGGCACCAAAATGTCTTTTGCCAGTTTTAGCAGTCTAGTAGGAATATTATCGTGTCCCATTGCTGAATCAGTTTTTAAATCAAGAATTATTGAATTTACTTCATCTTCTGTAGTTTCGAGCATAACCATGGAATTTACAGGACTATTTTCATTAAGATTTACTATGTCTCCATTATAATAACAAAAATCAGAATTTTTCAGTAGCTTATCTGCTAGGTTCCATCCAACATTGGCAAAGTAGTTATTTACACGTTCTACAGCTTTCTCAGGGGTTTGTTCTATTTTAAGCAAATTAGTTTGAGGTGACTTTATGGTATTTCTATTTGTTATATTATCAATAATCTTCCACGTCAGTTTAGGATTTTTAATGTGTTTTTTTAGTTCATCTTGTTCATAAATTGTTTTTAATCTTTTTAACAAATCATTACAAAAATTTTTGTACCTATTGTAGGTTCTGTTTAATATTAAGTTCGTGGGGTCCTTTTTTGTTCGCATGTGCATCCTGTCCCTATTTTTAATACAGCGTAATAAACCTGGTGTAATCCATGGTTTGAGGCACCATTGTTTTCTAGGAGCAAAAATTTTATGCGTGTGTTTTGCAACTAGTTCTGACAGAGTTTTAATAAGCATATCTGTCGCCCAATTTGCATCAGATGATTTTAAAATGTCTTCAAAATCCGTTTTCTCTAATTCAGCGATGATAGCATTGTAGTTAATTTTGTTCTTAGCATAGTTACGCGGAGTTTTCTCGAGTTTATTATTTACTTTGATAGTAGTTAGAACTGGAGAATGATCGGTTAAAGGAGAGGAAAACACAACAGTAGTTGCCGGTAACCTACATTTGAGCATAACATAATCTATGCAGTTTTTACCTCTAGTAGGAAAATCATGACCAGATAAGAGTCCATGGCTTGCCAACAAATTTAAATAATCGAAGGAATTTTGGTCTTCACTATCCATTTTAATGTCAATATTAACATCCCCGATAATTACAATATTTTTATACTTCGAATATGAAATTAATATATTATTAAGTGACGTAATAAAGTTATAAATAATTCTATGTGAGGGTGATCTATAAATTGCTATTATAACTGTATCTGGGTTTACTATAATAATCATGCATGTTGCGTCAAATAGTTCTTGTTCCTTTACATTACAACAGAAACCTACTTTTGCATACACAACGATACCATCATTCTGATTATAATTTTTTTTAGAGTAGTACGTATCATAGCCCTTTAATGTAGGAAAATTAGATAAATTTCTATTCCATGTTTCAGTTAGTATATAAAGTTCACACTCTATTTCTAACCTAGAAAGGAAGACTTCAAATTTTGAGAAGTTACAGGATATACTCCTTATATTTTGAGTCAAGACTTTAATATTATAATCATAATCCTGTTCTGACTTTATTATTATTTTACAGGTTTCAGGATCGCATAAATATGACATGCCTGTTGATATTTTATCTATGTTGGAATTTAATTTATTATTATTTAAGAAATCGAATTTTATACAGAATGTTTAAGGACTTTAACAAAACTAACAGTAGGCTTCCCATAGCAGATACTTGAATGTATATAAATAGAGTAGTTGTATAGTACTTTTCAGTGTATGTGTATATAAAAATATATGAAACATTATATATTGTATTTTGTAATGTAGGTTTTAAGTAATAAATATAAATAAAAATAAAATTAAGTATTTCTAACCTAGGACATTTATAGTTCCTCTCGTTGCCCACAGAGACTAGTCATATGACATTCTTGATACTGCTTAGTTGAAGTTCGTCCTTTATTTCAATGTGTGACGATTCTTGTGTTTTCCTAATATACACCTTTCCATTGCTTGTCCAGCAGAATTTGTACTGTTCCGATTTTGCTACATTACGAGCCAGAGAAAATAGTGTGCGACTCCTATTGGTAAGCGCTTCAGATACGTAAATTGGCTTTGATTCTCCAGCTAGTCCGATATCACCAGAACTTAGTCTTTTATTAGGATTTTGTCTGTTATATATTCGGGCATTTCTAATAATATCATCCTTTAGGATGTTTCTTGTAAACTCCGTAACTATTGTGTTATTATTACCTTTGCCCTTTAGTAAAATTACATCCTTTATGTCACTTTCTGCAACGGTTACGTTCAGGAGTTTGCAAGTAGATTGTACTATATTGCACATCTCTTTTTTGTTGTTAAATATCTTCTCCTTAGGTAGATTTCTAATTTCTATAGAGGATTTTTTAATAACCCTTTGCAAGTCTTCAACCTTTGTATCCAAGTAGGCTATCTGAGCCATATGGGTTTTACGTTCAGATTCTAAAATTTCAATTTTTTCTCTCATATCTTCGTATTTGCAACTAATAAATTCCAGTGCTTTTTCAATTTCCTTGTTTGATTCTTGTATTTGTGAATTTTGGAGTTTAATTTCGGCAACATCAGATACTAATTTGTTCAAAATTCGATTTTGTTTTTCCTGCCAGCTAGACATCATATTTTTTATATCTTCGGAATGTTCTTTATTTGCAGGAGATCCCCTTCGCCGTTTTGTTCTTTGAGTGATAGGCGATGTGTTGTCATGGTCAATTTTAGTTAGATCTGTATCAGACATCGTAGTCTTTTGATCACGGTTAGGAGGCGATCGGATTGTTTTTGGCATTTTTAATGATTACTAAAATTGTCTTGTGTTCAAAGCTTCTTGGGTCACACTAAGCGTTCAGAAACTTCCAAACTACCTTGAACCGTAACTTCTATTAAGTAGCAGGGTAATAGAGGTCTTGTTATACTGTTTTTTTTGAATAAAAGCGCAACTGACATTTAAAAGAATTCTATTTAAATTTAATATTTTTATGGAAATAAAATATAGTGGACACGACTACACGCAATCGCGACTCGGACGGATAAGATATATATATATATATATATATATATATATATATATATATATATATATATATATATATATATATATATATATATATATATATATATATATATATATTGCTTCAATAACGAATATATTAAAAGTTTGTTAATAAAAATAATATTAAACAATCATCATATTTGAAAATAGATATCCGACAGACATTGGCGATGTCGAAATGAGTAATGACCTTTTTTTTTTCCACCAACAGTGTCCAGAAGAACGAAATAGTATAGATATCAGATCGGTATCATATCTCCCATACCTAGTATATATAAATATATATATATCTCAGTACATGTATGTACATGGCTTTGCACGGATAGTAAAGCATATATGCTTATATTTTTTGCAGCAGCTTCTTGCGTCGCTTATGAATTTTTTTACAGCACAAGGGGCATACGGGCATGCGGATCACCTGATGATAAGTGACTACCGCCGTCCATGATCATCCACAACACCAACGGCCTTTTAAAAAATACTATGCTCTTTTCTTGAAGGTTTAAATTAGATTTAAATGTACCATTACTTGGAGTGTTTTTAACGTAAATTACATTTTTATTTCTATACAACTCCTATCCTGCTAGTATTTAATAATGATTAATACTGTATCCGTTTAAATATATTTTGCATATACCAAAGATACGACAAGATATGCCATTATGAACCTTTTTGTAGATCAATAAAAGAGAAACAATCCCACTATACTTGTACATTGTTTTGTTATATCTCAAATGGATTAGGCAGCGTTTCTGACGAAAACTCTCTGATTTGGCTTGATTTTTTCGGACATCTTCAACAATCATCATCATATTATATATGTATATATTTGTGAAAAAATATGTATGTAAAAATGTGTATAAATCTAAATTGTTTATGTGTCTAAAGTTTATATATTAGTTAATAAGTTTTGTAAGTAGAAGAGGGCCCAAGACTTCGCGACACAGGGAATCCTAGTGTGAAGTTTTGGGAACAAATGTAAAATTAAAACATGTATTTTTGGATTTCATAATAATAATTATTATTATTGTATATTAACTATTTTAAAAAGAAACTTAACAAATTATACACCTAAACCTTTCTTAGGAATCGACCTATTGATTAATAAAAATCGTATAAAATCCGTTCAGTAGTTTTTCAGATTATCGCGTACATATAGACAGACAAACGCGGCAAGGCACTCTGTTTTCAACCGACTTAAAAAAGAAATAGATTCTCAAGTCGATTGTTTTTTTTTATGTTTATTACCTTATAACTCCAATTGTTATAAATATGTCATAAATATTGGCATATTTATAAATACGTACTCGAATATTTTTGAATATAATACAACTAGCTTTCAATTTTACAGTTATTAGACGTAATATCAATTGTTAAGGTTAAAAATAGGATCCATCCAATAGTCGTACATATGATATGAATAGGTACTAGTTTCAGTGATGGGAATAATAATGAATCCCTTACAAACACTTACTCACAATAGAAGCCAGAGATTAATGTCCTTTGAAGTCCCGATTCAATTTGATTCAGCAGATCTAGAATGATCTATTCTAATATATTTTATTTGAAATTTTAACACTATAGACTTTTGCTGTATTGTATTCTAAATTGTCAAAATTTTTGGAAATTATATATTAGAATAGATCATTATAGATTCGTATATTTTTTAATGACTGAAAATGGAACGGTAATCCCGCTTACGCTAACGATATATAATATTATATTGTTTTGTAATATGTAACATGTATAATTTATGTTATTTTTCTTAAAGAGCGATTGTATCTAATTAATGATATTATTTAAATGAAAAGTTTGTTTAGTGTATGTGTAAATAAATAAATAGATATACACTGGCGGGGCACCAGTGAAGGATGACAGGTGAGGATAAAATGACAGGTCAGTTAGCACGATGGTTTCCAAGAGGTACCACGTGAAGGTTGACCTGACAGGGTATATTGCTAGCAATGGGATTTATCGTCCGCATTACTAACAATCCCTCCCTCCTTCCCTATATACATACGTATTAGTGCTCGCAATCAAGCAGAAACACTATAGAGTTCATATCGCTACATTGTCATTATCGTCATATCAGCCTTTAACTGTCCATGGCTGAATATAACCCTGTCGTGGGATTTTACCAGTAGTTGCCATGCTTGCCAGATGGATTGGCAACGGGAAAGAAAGGTGTAGCCCATTCTATGCCAGGACCATATGGCATATCACTACATTATATATAATTAATTAAAGAACACAGTCTTATAAATAAAAAACCGACTTCAATTAGATATGACAAAACCATTTATTTTGATTTAAAAACCATGTTGCCGAATCGAATTTGATAAAATTTCTATGGCAGCAATCTGTAAATATATCCTTTCAGATAACGGAAGAATTCTCTAAATCAGTTTACAAGTAACGGAGTTATGAGGTAACAAACATAAAAAAATATACAACCGAAATAAGAACCTCTTTTTTGAAGTCGGTTGAAAATATATTACAGACGACAATTCATAGAACACCAAAAAGGGATTTAATATATTTCTAAACAAATTATTCTTGGATTTCTTCGTAATCCGTGTGCTTGTTTTTATCAAGGCGTCCTTGCAGCGCCTTATCTGTCAAAGAAACTTTTCTGGCTTCGGTCCAAACGCCAATGTACTTTTACATAATAGCCACTAACAGTCTAAGCCTTTTCAACGTTCCTAAAATAAAATTATAGAAATTGCTTTATATATTCCATTACAGTTGAGAAATACAATATGTTTTCAACCGTCTTCAAAAAGAAATTCTCAATTCTGTTGTATTTTTTTGTTTATTACTTCATATCGTGTAGGTTCCAGAATAGAATGATGTATATATACACATATATGGTCCATTCTAAGTTATATATATATTATCTATATTACTTTAAAGTATATATGTGCGTGCACGCGTGCGTGCGAGCGTGCGTGCGAGCGTGCGTGCGTGCGTGCGTGCGAGCGTTCAGAGAAAAGCCTACCCCTAGTATCGCCCTTATTCATAAAGACTATAACCTACAAATCTACTTCAACTATTACACTGTTTTGTCACTTCCTTTCAAATTGGAAATTTGGTATAAAAGAAAAAGACGAAACAGTTTTATAGCTAAAAGAGGCTTGACTTTTTGTGAATAAATGGATATACCTATCTATATGAGTATTATAGAAATGTTTTTTTAAATTTAAGTCCAAATTAGATTAATTTTTCTAAGTTCACAAGTTTATTTTTATTTTGTTTATCGCACTATTAACATATGGATTGTTGAAGGATTTTTAATAAATATAGTAAAATACAAGGGGTGGTCTTATTGTTATGTAATCTTTTCCAGACAACTAATAATTAACAAATAATAAAACAATAATAAACAAATAACAATAATATCTCCAATATTGCCCATGACTTTACAGATATTTTTAGACTAGAAAGTTCTAATAATGCTCTGAAAGGAATATTAAAATGAGGATTAAAAATTTAATTAAAATACTTTTGCTACAGGGTTTACAGGGAGATTAATATTTTGTCGTTTGACACAATTTTCAACTAGAAAATATTTAGCTCAACTTTTACATACTACTTCATATTACGAACTAAAACTAATATTATTAAACATATCTGTGTAGGTACAGTGCTTTATAATCAGTCACGTAAGTAAGTAATGAAAACATTTCAAAATATAAATTAATTTCAATTAATATATTGACAAAAAAAAAAATATAAATTGAAGTGTAGTTAATATTTCTTTTTTTTTTTTAACCGGTCGCTCTTGTGAGAACGGTCATGGTTTCTATTATGTTTCCTTTGCGTTTCCACTTAATATTTGTTTTGGTAATTCAAATATAATAGTATAATAGTAGACATTTGTTTGTTATTTCATGGCACGTTAACAGAACAATCAATCATTACGAAATTTGGTTTTTTGAATAGATTACGCTATAGGTTAATTTTTTTTATCTAGATCTAGTTAAGAAAATGTTATCTTATTAATATAATAAAATTGTAACCGGACAATTTTTATACACAGAAGATATGGAAGAAAAAATATTAAGAAAGTCGTCAATAAGAGGACTAACAATTTTGTCTGTATATATTTGTTCCGGCATCACCTAAAAATTACTACATTGTATTCAGTTTTTATAGTTGTGTTCCTGAAGATCTAGCCTAAATTTTAGTGTATGTTTTATTTTGATATAATAATAATAATAATAATTCTTTATTTACGGATTACTAAGATCCATTTTTGTTAGTAACAATTGACTTAAACTATGTTAGTAGAGAAAAAAATACAAAATTCATTTTATAGCCCCTATAATAATTTTGACCCACAATGAGAGGATCGGGCTATCGTATTTATTACATAATGCCCTCAGAATGCCGTTACTACTGCCACGCAATCGGTATAAAAGAGATGCAATCCGTTTGCGTCTGATGGCATAGAAGTCATCTGTCCATGCCGCTGCAAACATTGTGGATGCACTACAAAAACGTGGCAGCCGCAACAACACCCTGAAAACATTATTGTATTGAACACGCAGAGCGCTGTATGCCCGCTGTGTATAGTCAACCCACAGGCTGCTCGTGTAAAAAGATTGGCAATATGCCTTGAACAATATTATTTTGACTTCAGTCGAGCAACGAGCAAACCTGCGAGCCAACATATTACCCCTTACAGAACAGCCAGTTCAATGTCAGCATTATCTTTCAAGTCATCGGTAATAATA